AATTATTTATAGGTCACAAATCACAAATATTATAAGTCACAAATTATCAAATTATCGGTCACAAATTAATAATTTTTAGGTCACACATTATTTTTTTGTCACAATTTATCTTTTTCATTGGTCACAATTTATTTATTGGTGACCACCACCAACACTTGTGACTACCACCTTACTACTGCCACCAACAGCATGACAACCGAAACCCTTCGCCAGAACCACCACCACCCCCATCCTACAACCCAAAAAAATCTCCAATCCTACCATCATTGACGCCGACCACCTCCAACAAATCTTCAACTTCAAATCCACCAACACCACCACCTCGTCAACACAACCACCAACAAAACCACCATCACCACAGCACCAAAAAGATCCAATCGTCACCCAAACACCAGATCGCCTTCCAAAAATCAACAAAATCGCCGCCCAAAAATCAATAAAATCACCGTCCAATTCAAAATCAACAACTATAGCCGTACGCAGTAGCACCACTATAGCCACAAACAAAAATGACCACCACCACCCCCACCACCACTAGAATTGAAATGCTAATGTCATGACTGATTTTGCACTACCTAAGTGCCTAGAATAATCACTAGATGCTCCTTTTCCTGCCGGTCCAACTTCGAGAGTCGATGCCAAGTTCAGTCTACGGTTCGAACTAGAGGTATCCTACATTTTTTTTGATAGTATATCAACCAAGACTCCTTCAATGTTAATCAATTATAGCATACCAAACAACACTTACTGCTTTAGAATCAAGAGGAAGTATGCGAAAACAAAATTGAAGAAGGGAAGCATCATCAGAGAAAGAAGCATTGATTGGCCCAAATATTAATTCTGCGCAGCTGCCAATAGCATTTTCGCCCACTCCACTGCAGACCTGATCAACCAATATCGCCACGGCGTCGCCACCAACACCAACTAGCCACCACAACAACGACCATGTCGTCCCTTCCATGCCGCCAGAAATAAAGAAGAGAGAGAGAGAGAGAGAGAGAGATTGGAACGAGAATGAAATTAGGGATTTAAAATTGGGGTGGGGTGGCGTGTATATAAATTATTTTTTTAGTTTTATAATATTATTTTTAATATTGAAAGATGAAAAATTATCTGATTTTTGAAAAGAAATTCTTTAAATCTGAAATTTGAAAGTGAATCTTTTAAATTTTGGTTTTATGTAATTTTCACTTAAATAATTCCGAAAATGATTAAAAATAATAATTATTATTAGAATCAAAAAAACCCAATCAGAAACCTTTTAATATAATGCGTGAAGTGTGATTTGAACCCCCGACCTCCCACACAAATTTCATACTTTTCACCAATTTGTCATTTCATCTGAATTTATTATTTCTTTCATATATTATATTTATTGTATAAATATCTATCACATATATCCAATATTTGTTGGATTCTTAGGTCTTAGAGGCTGAAACCAGGGAGAGGGAGTAATTTGAAAATATGTTTCGATATTGAAACTTTGAAAGTGATTATGTCACCGTTAAAATAAGTAACTTATTCTATTAATAAAAAGTTGTTTCATTCTACAATCAACTGGTTACTTACAAGTAAACTTTTGAAGCTTTAGCCAGAACTGCTCTAGATTAAGATAGCATAAATCAGGTTATTTTACAAATTCATTCGTTTCTCTTGGATATCAAATAGCATTTAATAATGTGGCGGTGCGATTTTAACTTACATTTTTACATAATAATATAAAGGAACTCGTGACACATATTGTACATGTTACCGTAATTCCTTCTTCAGTGCATAAGCAATCATTAACTCTAGTTTTTCTGGAGTTATTTCGACCATATTGTACATATTGTGTTGCATTAGACACATTTTCTAGATGAAGCCGACCCTAATTGCATTTATTGAATTGATCCATGTACAAACAAAATATAAAGAAAAAGGAAATGGGAAAAAAAGAAAGGAGAGATTAATTTTAATTAAATAATAGAAATAGATGAAATTATCATTAATCAATATAAAGATGTGTTTAGCATTGTTCAATATGAAACATTAATTTAAAATTTGTATAACAAATTAAGGTCCTAAATGAAAATCTCCACGAATTTTTAAATACTCTAGTTTTAGTAACTGATCAGTAATCAATTAATTTGTTTAATAATCCGGTCAAAATTGTTTTAACAAATCGGAAATACAGCATTATTGTTAGCTAACAGCTATAGAAGAACTAATTACCAGGAAATTAATAAATACGGAAATAATAAAGTAGTAATTACTACTAATTTGATTATATAAATTATTATAATAATTAACAAAAAATATTAATTAATCAATTAATAGGAAAAAAATTCTGGCCGAACAATTTTTTTGGATATCCATTTATTCTTCATATAAACAAGTACTACTAATAATTTCTTGATCACAAAAACTCATCAAGTTACCGGATTTTTCTTTTCTTTTTTGGTTAGAAATTCTTGCAATAAATTATGATCAATATTTCAGTGTCTTTGATTTAAGAATGTATTTAGTCAATTCAAGAAAAAATTCTTCAATGGCGTTCCAGAATCTTTCTTCCCGTTTCATTCTCATTACAATCTTCTGTTTCTTAACTTTATCCTCCACTGTGACTGTCTTCGGCTCCGCCTCTTCGTTACCATTAGACGACATCCCCGAGGGCGACGGAGTATTCCCTTCAGCTTTTCCTTTTCAAATACGTTTCCACGGCGATGATATTGATCCCAAAACCGCCGCGTATTCGGTTGACTACGCCACTGGCGGCCAATGGGCGCTTTTACAAAAGAGCATCGGGGTCTCCGCCATGCACATGCAGGTCATGTATTTTTTTATTTTTTTTAGTTGAATCATTTTAGGTGACATGTTTTATTAATAATGTAATTATACGTGCAGGTCATGTATAATAATAAGGTGGTGATCTTCGATCGGACCGACTTTGGACCCTCTAATCTCACTCTCCCTCCAGGCATATGCCGACACAATGACAAGGTTTTGCAGGTGGATTGCACTGCACATTCTGTCCTCTATGATATCACTACCAATACGTACCGCCCCCTCACCGTGCAAACCAATGTCTGGTGCTCCTCCGGGGCCGTCAATGCCGACGGAACCCTTGTCCAAACCGGTGGATACAATGCCGGCGACGACAAAATAAGGTTGTTCACTCCATGCAACGACGATAAATGTGATTGGGTTGAGCTGCCTCAGATCCTAACTGTCGAAAGATGGTATTCCTCAGACCAAATCCTACCTGACGGACGTGTGATCATTGTTGGGGGCCGGAGGCAATTCAGCTATGAGTTCTTCCCAAAGAGTCCAGTTCGGAACAGCCCAAGTAACAACGTTGTCTACTTTCCATTCTTGAAAGAAACAACTGATCCTAAAGAAGAAAACAATCTTTATCCATTCTTGCACCTTTTGCCGGATGGAAATCTCTTCGTTTTCGCGAACCAAAGGTCTATCATATTAGATTATGTTCACAATAGAATCATCAAAGAATTTCCTCAGATTCCCGGTGAGAAGAGAACGTATCCATCGACAGGTTCTTCGTTGATGTTGCCGCTGAACTTAAGTAATGGTGGTCGTGGCAGTTCTACGTCTTCGTCGCCCACAGTGGAGGTGCTGATATGCGGTGGTGCAAAGGGTGGTTCATATATTAAGGCTTCACAGAAAGGTGTATTCACATCAGCTTCTAGTACATGTGGTCGTTTGAGGGTCACGGACCCAAATCCACAATGGGTCATGGAGGAAATGCCCCAGCATCGGGTCATGCCCGATATGTTGTTACTACCCACGGGTAATGTTATTATTCTCAATGGTGCAGCAAAGGGATCAGCCGGGTGGGAGTGTGCGGATAACCCGGTTGTGAACCCGCTTCTTTACACTCCAAATGAACCCGACTTGAAAAAGAGATTCACTCTGCTCAACCCCACCGCAATTCCAAGAATGTACCACTCAGCAGCCACTTTATTACCAGATGGCAGAATATTAGTGGGTGGAAGTAATCCACACGTAAATTATAGCTTTACAGGCGTGAAGTACCCAACTGACTTAAGTCTCGAAGCATTTTCTCCACCATACAAAGCCCCACAATACGACTATCTCCGCCCTACGATCTCATCAGTAGATGTAGGGCCCATACAAAATGTTGTATCGTACGGTCAAGAATTCTCCGTAACATTTGACATGGGATTGTTCCAACCATCCGATATAATCCACAAGGAGTACATGGTAGCAATGGTTGCACCATCATTCAACACGCACTCTTTTGGGATGAACCAAAGGCTATTAATGCTGAACATTGTTGACATTCAAAGAGTACAGTACTCGCTAGTTGCCCGCAAGGTCACGGTCTATGCACCCTCAACAAAAAATATTGCACCCCCGGGGTACTATATGCTGTTTGTGGTTCACCAGGGGATACCTGGACCTGCTGCTTGGATCAAAATGAAGTGACAATCCCATCAATTTTTGTAGTTCAGAATTTTGGATAGTGACACATAGCCTCTCATTAGTCCCATTTTCTTTACTTTTTAATTACACATTCTTTCAAAAAAAAAAAAATATTTTTCACAAAATTCTACCAAACAGGGGCAGTGTAGAATAAGAATTTAGGGGTTGTAATTTAGTTTATGCTACCATTTTTATATGTAATTAGTTACTTGTTTATTTACTTTTGTTCATTGACAAATTGATCTTATTTTTTATTATTGAAATTAAGAAATATTTGAAGTTATTTTTACTGTAAAAAACTGAAATTATAGATAATTAAGTAGAGGAAAAAATCATATATACCTTACAAATAGAAAATATTTCATTTTATACATACATACATTACTATACAACCCAATAAAAATACCAAATTTACACTTTCCTGTTTTAATTTGTAATTGAAATGTTCGTGCACAATCAAAACAGGTGTAGTAAATAGAATGTGCTGTATGGGAATTCAAATTCAAATCGAGATTCTATGAGATGATAACATTTGGTTTACGGAATATTTTCAGGATTGGTAAAATATACAAATACGCAGAAATATCTTTGGTCATATGGTTGTTGATTTCCCATATCAAAGGTAATTGTTCGACTTCCCTGTGTTGTAAGCATCTTGTGTGATGCTTCGACTTAGGTCTAGTTTTTAGTATTTCGATTCGTGACAAACATGTGCATCATATACATCTTAATACTGATATTGTTCTTGGTAAAATCGTTATTCCCCCAATCCTCATTTCAACATAATTGTTTTGCAACAGATTATGGTCAAATCATCAAGAGTTTTGTAAAATCTGTTTTTCACTTCCTGAATATCCAATGATTGCCGAAAATATAATATAGATCTTAATGAGTGTAGCTATTACCAAGAATCTACAGTTAACTAACTATTAATTACGCTTTCAATACATTATTCTTGTAATTGATCACTGTTATGATTTAGCTTCGCAAGAATTTTATTGTGAGTTATTATTATCAAGTAATGTATCTTCTGGAAAAATATTTGTGCTTGTAACACAAGACGTGACACACGCTAATGAATCTGTAGACGAAATTAGGTATCATCAATTCTGAATATGTGAAAAAATTAGACACTCACAATTGCATAAATAGTAGGTTATGATTGCTTGTTACAAATGGCAAAGTGAATGCATATATCTCCGAGTAGATATATTCTATTATCAGTTGTAAACTATTGAATTGTATTAGTATAGGGTTATTTAAGCCATTTTACATTCTTCATTTTGTTAGGTTAGTTATAAGTCTGTTTATATATGTATGTTGATTCCTCATTTTGATCTCTCTCAATCTAGTTCCATAACAATTCATTTTTCCCGCCGCTTTTCTTCTCTCATTCTAGAGTATTCTTATTGCATTTCTTCATCGTATCAGAGTACAGAAGCTTCCTGTAATGGTGAAAGATTCCAGTGTTTAGGCGGCGGTTCAAAGCCAATTCAATCATGCTAATTCCTTCATCGAGTCATCAACTGAGGATGCGGTTGTAGGAGATGTAATTTCTTTGGTTAATTGACTGATGAGTGATCCAAGCAGTCCATATTTAAATAAAAATATATTTTTTTTGAATAGGAGGATATATTCATCATTTCACAGTTTTTTTTTTTTTTTTGAGAAATTGGATGAAAATAGATAGAAATAATGGTTTGCGCAATTAAATGTGTAATTAAGGGTGAAAATGCTAAAAAAATAAAAGGTAGTGACGTTTTTTGTAATAATAGGGAAATGTAGGGATATTATGTGCTAATTACCCTTTTAATAATTTATTTGTAACTTATTTGAGCTTTAAAAAAAAAATTGGGACTGTGATTGTAATTAGTGTTTTTCTTTTTCCTTTTGTTATATTTAAAGAGAATGATATATTGGTCATTTTATAATTTTTAATTGAGAAAATAGGTGAAAATGACATGTTGCGCAATGAAAGGTGAAAATAAGGGTGAAAATGTCAAAAAATAAAAGATAGTGACATTTTCCACAATAACAATGAAAGATGGAGACATTATGTGTTAATTACCTCAAATTAAATACACATATTTGACCGTGGTCCACCTTTGATGTTCACTGCCACATGTCCCCTCAGAAATCAAATGAGTTCAGCCATCGCATACTCTAGACAACTTCAACAAATGAGTTTGATATTTTACTTTGAACAAGCTCCCTCCAACCCTTATGATATCTTATAGGTCGGGTCATCCTACATGGGCGACCCATAACCCATATTTTTTAACATTTGCCACTCGCACGTGATGGGCTTAATTCGAACCACAAAGGACAACGAGTGTCACACGTAAGATCATTCTCAAGATCTATCTCACAAAAATTTATACGACAAATAGATTGTTCGACCAGTAAAAAATATTAGAGCTCACGATACTATAAACATGTTAGGGATATGTAGTAGCTCTACTAGAGGAATATTACATCTCGCTATACCCCAAACTTATTTTTCAATATTAATTCAAGTGTTTTCAACCCCTCAAGTATTTATGGAACATACTTGAAGCTCACATCTTATTTTGTATACACAATTGTGTCGTATACCTTAAATGGTTAAATACAATTGTCCAGCCAGTGAATACGAATATAAATGTTGGTCTAAATAGTTGTCACTTCCTACTCGAATTCTTCAACTTTAATTTGTTGCTTTCCTAGACATGTCTCACCAAACCAAATCAATCATAATTATTGACAACATGCTAAAATAGCAATATCGAAATAAAATCTCGAGAAACAGTTAAAAGCCATAAGAGTATATATGAGGTTATACAAACCTCAAGGTCTCACAATGAGGAAGCAGGGACCAATTCACTTACTTACCCAATATTAATCATAAAAGCACATGTGGATGAAACACGTGCTACAATATTTTCTCCCTTTCTTAAGGTGTATGACATATTCTTTATAAACAAATAATATCGTACAGATTCTAGTTCAAGTATTTCCTAATACCTAACTTGATTTTTTTATGGACATGTTTGGTAGGGATTCTCATTTTCTACAGTAAATCAATTCTCATTTTCAACCACACATTTTTCAATAAAATAATAGTTTCTATCACATCAATAATTTTTTCTTCTTTTTCAACAACACATTTCACATCATATCACTATTCAAAATCAATTATTCCCCCAAAAAATCTCTACCAAACAAGCACTATATATTTATTCCTCTAGGCAATTTCTAATGGATAGCGAAATCCATATCGATTACTTATTATAATCTCATTTTTAAATCTCATCAAGGTGATTAGATCATGTACACAACGTGATCCCTATGTCTCATCTCGATTCACTCCAAAATATATGAGGCGATTGCTCCTGTAAGTGAGCAATCTCAATCTATTTGACATACTTTATATATATATATATATGCAAAATATTATCTCGTAGTCCCAATAATATATTACACGCGAACACAAATTTGTTCATCTACATGGAACATAATACTTAATCAAGAGTTTTATGATACACTAAATATCATATTCTACTATCGGCAATTTGGCTCGCCAGCAAAGGCGGTCTGTGGCTCAGTCCGAAAAAATCCAAAGTCGACCTGGATCGGGGCTCGATTCAACTGATCCGAGACTCAGATAGACCCCTATTTTGGGGCATCGACTCGAACCCGAGCATGCCTATGTGGCTCGTCGAGCCATACAGGCCATTTTCGACCCATAACGAATTGATCCTTAAAAAAATTAAAAAACTAAAAGTTGACTGCAAAGGTAGCCTGCCTGGTTAAAAAAATCGTGAGCCGAGCCGAAAGCTCGGGTCGAACTTAGATTTTTTGGCCGAGTAAAAGCTTAGCTAGACTCAGGCCAAAAAAAGGTCGAACCATTTTTACTCGAACTGAGCTCGAGCCTCAATTTTCAGTTCAGCTCGTTGACATCCCTATATTCTATGTAATGTTAGATATTCGACATTACCAACAAGTCTCTATCATTTACGTAGATATATTGTAAAGACACTTTCTTTACTAATGTCTCTTACATAAATACAATTGAGTGTTTGGTTCCATCAGGATGTTTGAGTTCATCAATACATGAGATAATTGCATAATTATCATAGATCTCATATTCTCAACTAGTATCATAGATGCCCAATACATCTATACCAAACAATTTCTTCAACTGCAAGATATATATTGCACGATATATTTCTTGATATTCTAAATAGCAAGATCGCACAAGTTTAATGACTATTTGTGCTCGACTAATTCTCATCTTTAGTCAACATTTGCATACATATTCCAATAATAAATTATTCTTTCAACATCAAACTAGAATAATTGGCAGCAGTACCCTTCAAGTATCAAAATACCCCTTTTAAGGATAACTTCGATACTTATAGGTTAGATCCATGGCATGACAAAAATTAGGGTAAGTATACATCATAACATATTTCTAATTCTTAATCGTATTAGATATGGTTCTCTAGATATTTTTTTTTTGTGCATTTATGAAGTCTTTGGACATATATGAAGACTCGTGTTATCAAGGGGATAGTAATTCCACAGTTAGAAACATTCTAGAATCTTTATGGTATACAAATTTTGTGACCCAAAAAAAAAAAAAAAAGACTAGAATAATATTTTTAACCCAAAATATACAATTTGCAAAACTGATATCCTTCATCTCAAAAATTAAGGACAATCATTTCATAATGGTCTCAATACACTCCTTCTCTAGCCAATATAGTGTCATCAACATCAAAATTAGAATTACAATCTACCATCAAACTTTTACATAATATGATGAAATTTGTACGAGATTTAAATCATGTTAAAACTCAAGTATCAATGTCAAGATGACTATATTATGCTAAAATGTAACTACAAAGTTACCACAATACTATAGAATCTTTTAACATGAAACCTACAAATTTATTCATGTAGATCTCTTCAATCAATTCTCAATTGAGAATGAAAATACAGTTTACAAGTCTATTTGTTGC